CGTACCAAAGGAGGCTTGAGGGGGGATCTCATTTTGGAAAAATTGTCCCCAACGGCAGGAGTTGCCTTAGCTGCAACAGTTTAGAAAGCGAGACCCACCAGAAAGGAGTAAGCAGCCCAGGGCCACACCAGACTTTGGAAAATCGCCATAGCATGAAAGGAAGAGTCGTGATCGGTCGCTGAAGGGAGAGGGCCCCCTCGCCTACGGAAACTTATTTTCGTTGCTGATTCTCCTAGTTTCACGCGCGCTGTTCAGATAGTAATTAGCCGTGCCGCGTAACTACTATTTCTGATAGTTGTACTGAGGTATTCATCACCCTTCTCCACCCAACGGCAAAAATATTCGTAAAATGCTGCTGGAAAACAAGGTGGGATGTAAGCAGGGGGTAGTCGCACCAGGGAGAAGGGGAATTTTAAGGGGAGTCGTATTTCGGGAAATTCTTCCCAACGCCAGGGAGTGCTCTAAAGGGACCTAGCACTGAATTTGCGAGCAGCTTCATCGTAGTCGCCGTCAGGACCTAATCGATTTAACTTAAAAGCATTGCACTACGTCGAGTCAACTAGCCACCAAATACTAGCCAGTTTGTGCGCACTGCACAAGGTAGATATGATGTCCCACAGTGTTGGAGGTAATGGTGGAGGTCAGGCCACTACGGTGATTCTTTAACAGCTTCTCGAGAAAATCCTGCACCATAAGAGGGTCACGAGGGAATATTGCTAACCCTAAAGCCTTGCCATCATCCAGTTACGCTCCATTACCCATACCACTTGGTGAGGAGGATGGCTGGACAAAGTGCAAATGTATGTATATAGCAAAGACTTTCGCGAGATTCTCATTTTCAGGTGACAGAAGCTGGTGCCATGAATGTATTCCTGCACTGGAAGAACGAACAAGGCGAAGACGAACTGATCACACCTTCACTAGAGAGTGGTGAGAAAATATCATCTGTTCGAGCGTTTGAAGCGCTCGGAAGCCGAAAAGAATGTAAAAAAAATTAGGCGGAAAACGAAAAAAAGTTGAAGGTCAATGCATCAAAAACATCGAAACATTGCCATTTTTTGGCTAGAGTATAGTCTCGCTAAAATTTGCAGCAGAGATTCCGACATTTGAATCGTCACAATGCATTCGCATAGGCCTCATCTTGCCCGGAGTTACACGCCACTCCATATTGGAATTGGCACGAGAAATGGGTAAAGTCAAGGTGACCGAGCGTGACTTCACAATGGAGGAATTCCGGAAAGCAGCCAAGGAAAACAGGGTACGATCTTCTTCGTAATATGCTCCAAAGGTACACCAAAGTGAATCCCTCGCGATAATAGCTATTTTTGTCTCATTACCAGCCATGCATTTCGTACAATCAATCAGGGTACGTCGAAGGCGGGGGGGGGGGAGGTACAGGGGTGGATCATATCAGGTCGCTGACGGAAGGGGGTAGTTATTGTCATTGTGAAAAATGTTTTCGGTTGTTGACTTTTTTTCGGTTTTTCACGTTCCACCGTTTCACATGCGCTACGTAAACCTTCCCCGCTGGCTCGATAGCAGTTTGAAAAAAAAACTCCAGAGAAATACTAGGAAGCTGGGAGATTTTTTCAGGGAGATGGTAGGTAGGATGGGTTAGTGTGGAGTAGGGGAACCGTACTAGACGTACCAGAAGAGGAAATTCCAAACGTGGGGGGGTCATATTTCACAAAAACTTTCCCTCAATGAAAGCACACGCCTTGGTATCACTGCTGCGAGTAATAGAAAGATTTCAGATCTATGAATTCTTCGGATCTGGCACTGCTGTAGTCGTATCTCCAGTTGACAAGATTTTGTACAAGATCGATGGTCGTGCAGAAAATATTGAGCTTCCACCTATAGACATGAACAAATCACTCATGGCCAAGTAGGTTTACATTATCTGAATACCTCAGGTAAGAAAGTGGTTACTGACGGTGTCCCATCAAATTTGACCCCGCACGCTATCGCCAAAGAAACCTCATGAAATTAATGGCTCAAATCAGAGAAGGCCAGCTGGAAGCAGTTGAACAGTCTCAGCAGTCATAGCTGCTCACAAGCTCCAGACTGCTCGAAAGGAGGGACATTTAGTCGCACAGCTGGTTCAGCATCCGTATCAGAACCGACTCAACAGCACATTACGCTGATCGTAGGAGAGGAGAGGGAGAGAGGGAGAGAGAGATGAGATTACCGCTTCACAAAAGGGGTGTCAATGAGGAATATGTTTCTAAATTTCATGTTTCTGGTTGTTTTTGTACTCTCTTTTTCCGTCATCGTCGTAGGAACATCTGGCATTCTCAGAAAGTCCAGTAATGGAGCACTAGCGAAAATTTCTAAATTTCACCTTAGAATTTACCCACCTTGGGAGTTATTTGGGTGCTACTATTTTCACTGCCATTCAGCTCAAATATGCGCCCTACTATAGTAGATGGATGAAAGGTGAGGCAGTGCTCGAGTCCGGAACATGTCCATTTTCTACCCGTCTGCGTCCTCACCTTTTTCCATCAAGGCATGGGAAGCACATTTGAGAGAGCTCTGATGATTAGAGAATGGATGCAGCAATCCGTCCATGGACTAATTCTTCCCAGTTCCAAGTAAAACTTCGCTCTTTCATATAGAGGATAAAGGTTATGAATAAACTTTTCAGGTTGTACAGTACATTGACAGATATCCAATACGGTCGACTACAGCGCCCAGAGTGGACAGTACAGATATGAACGAAAGTTGACGTCTTACAACGCGGATCTCGGTTCTGATTAATAATGCTTGCAGTTGATCTCATAACAATAATGAATGTACCATTTGCAATTTGATTCTAGACTGACATCTATGTAAATAAATATTTAGACCATGTGGACTTTGTTGGTTTTTTTCAGTTCTCTTTAGTTTTCATAACTCCATAGAGAAGTTTATCATGAAGACTTTATTAGTTTAAGATCATTTAGACACGCCCTTCCTGAAAAGGGACCATAAATGCCCTGAAATGCTAGTACTGGGTCTGACATGTTCCCAACAACTGCAGACTAGGCGTGACGATAGAGGAACGCCCAGGTGACAGCCAAGGGAAACGGTGGTGAATCTCGGGATGGATAAATGGATGCAAACTTGTCTTTGCCTAGCGCAAGCATGGCCAAAAAACCGGTCACTGGAGTATCCAT